TCGATCTTAGTCGGCATTTCTTTGTGAGGTATGCAACCCGTAGATGTGATTTCAAGGTGTCTTGCATACCTTCGCTTGTCTCAATAACTTTGCAAGCAAAAGAAGTTCCCGAAATATGAACGTATTTGTCCAGATTTCTGCAGCTAATGTGCGCATGATGCAGAAACGGTGAATCCAGATTCCGATAGAGAAACATTTGGAAGTGGGTGTTTTTGCTTTTTAACTAAATTGCAAAACTGATTCATTTCAGTTAAATTTTAAAAAAAAACAGTCTGAAGTGCTGTAATAAATAATTCTTTCGCATTTCAGTGAGACAGAGGCCAATTTTTTGATTGGCTTGTTAAAAATTGGCCGCAAAAAATTGTTTTTGTACGACGCCCAGATGAAGGCATACGATGGTGAATTTGTAGCAGTCCTCGATTTCTATGTACACCCATCCTGCCAAAGACAAGGACACGGTCAGAAAATATTTGATTACATGCTCAACTGTGAGAAAGTGGCACCACATGAGGTTGCACTCGACAATCCCACCGGTATCAGCTTACAATTCTTTCTTTCTCAAAATTTCTTGGTCACACGCTCAGCTTATACTTCAGGGTTTGGCAAGATTGTACGAAACAATTCTTCTCTGATTCTAGCCATTGTGGGATCTATTTATCATACAAAGTGTATAGATCTCCACACTGATTTGAGTGTTCATCGTTCTCCACTAATAAGCAGCCCATTCGAGTATCATCTATTGGATGGTCCATTCCTACAACGTTCGCAAAGTCGCCTACCCAGTTTTTTTTCTACATAGTTTCTAATCTATCAAACTGACCTGAAAAACCGGAGTGTTTTTGAATTAAACTCTCTAGAACTGTGAATGCACGTGAGCTTATCTTACCCAGCCTAAATCTAGTGTGGGCTGCCTGCAATTCTTTTTACGAGTCGTAACAAACTGCTGCTTTCCATTCATTTACACTCATGCTGAATTAAGCCCTAATGCAGCAAGTATCAGCCTTTTCTGACAAAGAAAAGAGGGAGTTTTTTTTTTTTTGTCTTTTTTCACACAGTTTGCCCAAGGCGAGGATGTGTTGCAGTTTTTTTCGGTATACGCTCGAAAGTTCATAAGCAAAGTTAAAGCAGACATGTAATTTTGGTTTCCAATGGAATTGTAACAGAAGTCTGATATTAGGGTTTCTAGCTTTACCAGGCCAAAGATTAAAATCTCAAAGTTTCAGTTGACTCACTGACTCACTAAAATGACTGAAAGATACATACGCACACATATGCACACACTAAAATCTATAAGAAAACACAACACCTCATCCTTATATGCATAGATGAACACAATAAGCAGCAAAATGTGTGAATTTTGCTGAAGGACTGCCAAAGTTGAGCAGCTGGAATTTTAAGGACATACTTCTGGGCATGCATAGGATTCCAAATACAAAGTGAAGTCTGTATTCAGATTTCGATGTAAAGCTCAAAATGCATGTAACTATAAAACTCCACTACCAACAAAGTTATGGGCTTGAAATTTGAGTTAATGTGCACTACAAAATGTGTCTAAAAAATTCTTATGTTTTTACCAATATCGTCAGGTCATATTTAGGGGAGTACTGCAATTTCATAACTGAACGGGCACCATATTTAAGGCTCCTATTTATCGCATTCGACA